TCACTCCAAAAGGAAATCCTGTACCCAGTAAGCGGTCACTTCCCATTGCCCCTCCTCCTGGCCCCTAGTAACCGCTACACTGCTTTCTGTCTCTACGGATTGACCCATTCTGGATCTTTCATATAGATGTAATCATATAACATAATACATGACCTTCTGGGTCTCACTTCTTTCATTTAGGTTCAATCAGGTTGTAGCGTGCATCAGTACTTCATTCCCTTTCATGGCTAAATAATATGGATATACCACTTTTGTCTATCTATTCATCAGTTGATGGACATTTGGGCAGATTTCAACTTTTGGCTATTGTGAATAGTGCTGCTATGAACATTTTGTGTACAAATTTTTGTTTGAATACTTATTTTCATTTCTTTTGGGTATATACCTAGAAGTGAAATTGCTGAATCAGAGAACTCTACGTTTAATTTTTTGAGGAACTTAAACTCTTTTTAAAAAGCATGTTGATGCTAGCATACTTACGAATAATGAGCTTTGAGAAGCTTTCCGTACTAATTCACTTTAAGATGTTAATGGCTAATTAAGAGTTTACAGATTTTAACTTTAAAATTATCTGATGCGTCAGAAAACTTTAACCAAAAGCCTTGAATTTGCAATAATGGCATCTTAGGGCCCAGATTTACAAAAGGGAGATATTTTTGAGAAAATATGTCTTTTAGCAGTCCTGCTCACATCATGCCACGTGGAGGACTCCTTATTCCTCCTCTGTTTTGTAATACTTTTCCTTTTACTCACTTTTAAAGTGAGTCTGATGGTCAGTTGAGGACGATGTGAATAACATCTGTATCATAAACTCTTGTTAAAGCTCTACTGAATGTGAGGTGACTGTTCTGAGTGACTAATTCAGCCTGGAAGTAGAGTTATTAAAACTGAATAGAAATAAAAGAATAAGAAATTTAATTTAAATTTATTTCTGAGCTCAATTTGTCTTTATCTTATCTTTATTTTGAAAAAAATTTATAGAAGGAGAGAAAACAGTTTTGGGTTTATATTTTTCTGTAGTGTTTAGATGTTGATAGAAATATATTCCTTTAGTCTTTGGGCACTTTAGGGTAACAAAAATGATACATGAAAATTAGCTCTAATAGCATTTGTGTTGTTATTTAAATAATTTTATGATATATAACATAACGTGCATTATTTGTTATAAATAATATGTGGCTGTTGTATGTAATATGTGCATATTACATGTAATACACTCTATTGCACATGCTATTTTCGTATATATCATATTGGGACATAATATATATGGTATATATTTTATATATAAATATATTTTTTTAAATCTCCAAGAATATTTTTGCTTATTTAGAGGTTAATCAAAAGTGATAACAGTTTTTTAAAAATTTAAAAATTTTAAATACCACATAGAAACTAGTTAATTCATTTTGATGTAGCATTTTCTACTTAATAAAGCCCAGTCTGTGTAAAGATCACATCAGCTATCTCACTATTACTGCAGACTGGGCAGCTATGGAAGACTTCTTGTTCTACTTTGAGCATGTAGAAATGCCGAATAAATAATTTTTTCCCTAATGATGTATAGTCAGTATGCGTGAAGTCTTTCAACTACATAATCAAAACTAAGAATGGCAGGGGGCCGGCTCGGTGGCGCAGCGGTTAAGTTTGCACGTTCTGCTTCAGCGGCCCGGGGTTTGCCAGTTCAGATCCCGGGTGCGGACATGGCACTGCTTGGCAGCCCATGCTGTGGTGGGCGTCCCACATGTAAAGTAGAGGAAGATGGGCACGGACTTTAGGTCAGGACCAGTCTTCTTCAGCAAAAAGGAGGCCGATTGGCAGCAGATGTTAGCTCAGGGCTAATCTTCCTCAAAAAACCCCCCAAAAAACCTAAGAATGGCAAATCTTCAGATACCAAAACTTAAGAGAGAACTCAAAGGAAGAGTGTGAGAGGGAGTTGAAGCCTCACCGCCCAGGTGCCTGTAGGGGATGGTGTTCTCATGCCCTCAGAGGGACGGGGTCATACACTATGATCCAGAAATGACGTTGAAAGCACTGATGAACCGTGCCTAGGAAACCTGCCCCTGAGCCCAGTATGTGGCAGTCACTAGTGATTCCCTTATTTGTACAATTCTTACTTTGCAAATATATCTTATATATTTAATCTCACATTTATAGATATTTTTTATTGGAATTTTCCCCCAATATTCCACTATATTCTAGTATAGTACTGCACATTTGAATCAGTGATAACAGCAAATGTAAATGAATTAAATTTTCCTATTAAATGACAAAGATTGCATTAAACACACACAATTTACCGTGAATCAACTATATCAGTGAATCAACATAGATAGTTCTTTACACCATATTGTTAAAAATGAGTGAATGACAGCTGCATGCATCAGCATACATCAATCTCTAAAACAGAATGCATTTTGTATAACTTCATTTATACTAAGTGCAGAAGCAAGCAGAAGTAATTAATGTGTTTGTAGAAGTTTTGTCATATATGATGCAAGTTTTGAGAAAAAGTAAGAGAATTTTTAATGTAAAATTCATGGTAGTTGTTACCTCCAGAGGAAAGGGAGTGGGTAAGATCAGTTGGGTGCACATAGGCAGCTTCTAAAGGATGGTCATATTGAAATTCAATAAGTTGGATGGTGGGCACATGAGTGCTCACTTCATTGATTTTCTTTAACTTTACTAACATGCATAATAAATAATAAATAAAAAAGAGTAGAAAAGGCAAATTACAGATTGATACACAGAGTATGATGCCATTTATATAAATTTTAATAGTACAACAATTTACTTTATATTGTTATTGGGTAAATAGATACGTAAAAAATATATATATTTAAAAATGCACTGCAAATATCAGTGCCAAATTCAGGATAGTGGTTGCTTTAGGAATGGGGGTTTGGAAATGAGACTAGAAAGTAGATAAAAAGGGGACTTGAACAGCTTCTGTAATGTTTCAAACTTAAAAGAAATTTTGAAAAATGACGTCATGATGCCAGCCTGGTGGCATAGTGGTTAAGTTCTTGCACTCAACTTCAGCAGCCTAAGGTTAGCAGAATCCTGGGCACAGACCTACACATCTCTTGTCAAGCCATGCTGTGGTGGTGTCCCGCAAACAAAATACAGGGAGATTGCCACAGATGTTAGCTCAGGGCTAATCTTCCTTGTCAAAAAAAAGAAATAAAAAAGATCTCATAAGAAATAGTTCATGAAATGGTGAAATGAAGACTAGCGCTCAAAACAGTTCAATGCTGTGGAGAATTCCTTTTGTGCCAATTCCCAAAGTAGTTGAACCATCAAACTATGTAACGTGATTGAGTTTTCGCCAATATATCAGAGTCCATATTGCCAGTATAGACAACATCCAAAGAAAATTTAATGAGGAAGGAGCACTGAGAGAAAAAACTGCATCCCTAGAGGAGGTCAAATCAGCAGCATAAGTTCTCTCTCAGGTTTTGGTATATAGATACATAATCAGAGCAGATATTTAGCCAGCACCCATTACAATGAGCAGATGAGCAGACCACGGAAGGTCATTTTGTGTTACCTGGACAATGAGTCAGCTGTGTCTGCTCTATCCCCTTCTCCCAGGGGGAGGACTTGAACCCAAGCTCAGATTCTTATGGGACCAGGGCCCTCCCTTGCCAGGGTGGAATGGAATATTCCCTTGTCCCCAAGGTCTCTAGGTTCTGGATGGTCAACATTCCTAGACAACAGCTGCCACCTGAAATTCAGAATGCCTGGCTCTGAGAAGCCTGTGTGTTCCCCATGGACCAAGTTGCTTTCTCAGCAGCTTGTCTACACTGTAGAGACCTGCAGGCGGAAGAGACTCGTGTGCTGAAATGCAGACCTGCCTTTCAGGCCCAGCAGTGACCTGGCCTGGCCTCTTATGGGGTAACTTGAGGATTAAGTGGACCCGAGCTGACATTGTCTTGTGTCAATTTTTCCAGTAATGGCTATTCCTTAACCTATACTGTATGTATTGTAGAACGTGTCTTGAACTCTAGAATATAACACGTGGAGACCTGGGTGGTCCCCAATCTGCCTAATACAGAGAGGCATTGAAAGAGAGAGGATACATGTATTATAAATATACCACCTATTTCCAGTTTGTGAGAAATATAAGGAAATAAGGAAATGAAGGAAAATGTTAGTAACTGAGCAGTAAGCTTCTAAAAGTAATAAAATATTCTTTGATGTTCATGATAGAACAGCAGCCCGCATAATCTGGGCACTTTGTTCCTCGGAAGTGTTTCCATTGTGGCTTTATTGTCTGTACTTTATTTGCTGTATTTTGCCGTCCCTGCCATTCTCCTGACTCCCTCTGCTTTTACTGCGACTACTTCTGCTTCTCTTTGTGGATCTCAAGCTCGGAACTCCTGGAAAGAAGATCAATTAATCCCCATCCAATTAAAATCCTTTTGGTTGGTGTTCTCTCATCTCATCAGCGGCTGGATTCTCCAGGATTGATTTCTAGGCAAAATAACTATTGTTAGAATCAAATGACCTCAGATATGACAATTTTCATACAAAAGATAAGACTGGTTTTCTGGCAAAACCGATGAATGTGGCAGTACCTTCTAGCTTTCACGTATAGGCAGCGTGAGAGGACTAGGATGCCGTGTTATCCAAACCAGGACGCATCTGAGAGTGAAAGGAGGGAGACATTAACAATTACAGTGAAAGGATAAACCACTACTGTTGTGGCCAAACCAGGATGTACGTCACCTTAATTAGAGAAAAAATTGATAAATAGCAGATTGAGATTCAAGCCCAAAGATGGCCATAAACCAGTGATGGGCCTGGATTTAGCCATATTTTCTCCGTAAGCTGCATTTGACTGTCTCTTAATATAGGCATGATAGTTTCCTATAGTGTCCTATGATTCTCACATTTTTCTACCTCTTTGTGACTATTTCTTCAATATCTGGCTTCCCTCTTAGCAGCATGAGGGCATGAGTTTGCCTGTGTTTTCAACCACATCTTTGTTTTTGTCACAGGGTTTGGCATATCGTAGGCACCTAGTCGCTCTTTATTGAATGGGAAAATAAAGGGATATACCCAAGCATATCAGGTAATGCCAATATCTGCTTTATCAGAATATTCTGGAGAAAGTTGTTCCATACTTCACTTGCTAATATTGAGAGCAGCAGTAGTAGATGTTGATGTCATCCAGCCAACGTTTGGAAGAGGTATTTTCTCCAAACTTATGATGTTAGTTCTCGGGTTGCTGCAAATGTTGAGATCAATAATTTTCACATTTTAGCTTGAGGGAACATACACACATGTGTGCATGCACAATGCTTATTTTACACAAATTGGAAGTAAAAAAAGCATTGTTTAATAGGGGGTTGAATTTTAAAGTGTTTATATAGTGTTATATAATGTTTATATGTGTCAGGCACTTTTTTGGGTATTGAGGATACGTAGGTGATACAAAAGAGACATGGTCCTTACTAACATTGGAGGAAAGAAACAACAAAAACAGTAAACTAATGAAAATTTATGAATATAATTTTTGTAGTGATAGTGTTTTCAAGAAAAATGTAGCACAATATACACAGCGAAAAGGCTGGGTGTTGAAAAAATGCCTCTTTGAGGAAGTAACATTTAGCTCAAAACTTGAGGGAAGATAATAGTTGAGCCATGCAAAGAACTGCAGGAAGAAAATTTCAAGGAGAGGAAGAGCTTGCCCAGGGCCCTGAAGTAGGAAGTGCTAGGATACACAGGAAACTGCAAGAAAGTGAGGGTGTGCAGAGCAGAGCAAGCAAAGTGCGGTGTTAGATGGATAAGATCAGAGGAGAAGACAGAGGCCAGATCACGCAGAACTTTGAAGATCACGACACAGAGTACAGATTTTATTCCGAGAGGATCACAGGATTTCATTTAAACTTTAAAAAGATAACTTTGTTGGGTGGAGGGATGATAGACTTAGGGAAACCAGACAGGAAGCAGAGAGACAAATTGGAAGGTGATTACAACAATCCTTGTGACAAATGATAAAGCTAATGAGAAGCAGTTGGCTTTGGAATGTACTGTGGAGGTAGAGCAGAGAGGGTTTGCTAATGGATTGGATGTGGGATGTTAGAGAAATAGATGAATCAAGAGGATAATCCCTGGGGTTTTGCCCTAAACAGCTGGAAGAATGGTGATATGGTAATGCTGCTTGCAGAGATGGGGGTGGGTGGATGGTGGTGTGAGAGGGTGTAAGCTTGGGGAGAGGAGTGAGTGGGCAAGCAAGAGTTTGTTTGGACATGCTGAGTTTAAGATGCCACGAAATATCTCAGTGGAGATGTCAAGTTGGCTGTTGGTTATACCAATATAGATTTTACAGGAAAGATCAGGACCAGTGATGTAATTTTGATATTCATTAGGATAGAGAGGCTATTTAAAGCATGGGATTGTATAAAATCACCTGAGATATGAGTAAGGAAGAAAGGAGAGAAAGCCTGAATTGTGAAACTTGAAACTGACATCAGGAAGAGGAGAAGAACCCACCGAAGGGTTTTTATAAGGTGCACTCTGCAAGATAGGAAGAAAACCAGAATAGGGTGTCGTGGACACCAAGAGAAAAAAGCATTTTCAGAAGGAGGAGCGGACATCAGTAGCATCAAATGCTGTTAATTTTTCTGGAATCCATTACTTTTTAACTTCAGTTTGAAATTAAAGATGTGTTGAATGGCAGCATCTACTTACAAGGCTAAGCTTAACCATGTAAACAAGTCAGAGTATTTTTCCCTGTTCTGAGAAGAGAGAAGAATCATGATATATTTTTGTCCACTTGCTTAAAAGATATGTGAGGAGACATTTCCCTCAACTATAACCAATGAACAAAGAGCACAGTAAGCATAGTAGGAAGACGTATATGGGTAGAATTTACAAAAGCTGCGCTAACATTTACACAGATCTTCCAATCGCATCGCATCTTCTGAGAAGCTGCAAAGCGTATTACATTCTTCGCTCTTTCATTTATAATTGAGTTTTCAGTAACTTAATTTTTTCTTCCAGAGTCCTATTTAGAGTAGTAGGAAAAGCTGTCCTTTTCTAGGCAACAGAAAGTTTGATGTTCCTAATTTGGCTTCTTTTCTTCAGGCTTATAGCATTCTGTGTTTATTTTGGAGCTTTCTGCATCCAGTGTCAAGGGTCAGTATCTGTCACTTGACCTAAGGGAAATGGCAAGTTTTCTGTATTTTGCTTTCCGTTTCCCACAGAAAGGAAAAGGTAACAATATATTTGCCTCTTCCACTTCAGCTTCAGGTCTTCCGATGACGAATGGGATGGCCAACACTTCAGAACCCTCTAAGGTAATGGATCATTTGCGCTCTAGAAATGTCAAGGCCTTACTGGCTTGGACATATTTTAGGCAACTGAAATAAGACCTTCAAGATTCCATTGATGTGACGTGGAGACCTGTTGGAGAAACTGCCCAACCAAACCAGATACCAGAGGTATCTTACACAATGCCAATGGCAAGAATGTCTCTAGAGGAAAAAGAAAATTAAGCTCTACAGGATGTTTGGCCTGTCCTTACATTCTTGCACTACGGCTGAGGTACGCAATTTGATTCTTTGCTCTCCCTCTGCTGCAGCTGTATGATCTTGACCATGCCGCTCAGTCACTCTGAATTCCATTTACTATACTTTGTAACACTCGCTTTATAGCCATTCCTTCCTCTCTCATAGAGTGCACGTAAGGGTCAAGATCAAAGTGAGATCACGTACATAGGTATTTTGTAAATTAATAATTGCTGCAAAAATATATGATGTCATTTTTTTATCATGCCTTAAATCCTAGATATCTCAAAGTACTTTATAACGTAATCCTTGTTGTCATTGTACTTTGTTCTTTAAGTTTCCCAGGGTTTAGTTATCTTTCTTTCAATTCTGACCTCTACTGATGTCCCCTCCATCACTGTTCAGTAAGTACCTGCCCTGCCCCTCAGCCCTGAAAATATACGTGGGAGGCAAATTAAACCATTCCTTCACCCTACATCCAAATGATGACAAAGTCCAGACAATTCTATCTCCTTAAAATTTCTGAGTTCCTTCCCTTGCTTTGTTCATCCTTATTAAGATGACCCCAAGGTCAATAGCATCATCAAAGCCCGTTACTCTATTCTTCTATCTGCCTTCATTGCCCCAGCTTATCTTCCAATCCATTCTTCACGTGGCACCCTTAGAGCGATCCTTCAAAACAAAACAAAATCCAGAAATGATCATATCTCTCCCCAGTTAAAAACCCACAAACAGCTTCTCAATGCTGACAAGATAAAATATCAACACTCTGGCATGTTCTTCAAGATTTTCCATGATAAGGTTTCTCCCGGCATCTTCACACACAGGGTGCCCTTTCCAGTTCTCGTCCCCAAACTTGCAGGCAGGCTGAAGTCCTTGCACTGCCTTCCCCAGTCGATGGACTTCCACCTGTTGCTTCTCACACCGTTCTCACACTGTCTGCATTCCCGGTCCCCAGGGTTCTCATGTCTTAAGTTTCTATGTTGTGATTCTACAAATTCTGCTTTGGTTTCCCTTCTTTGTCCCCTTATTCCAGCCAGAATTTAGACTCTCTTCCTGCTTTGTGCCCAGCTTAGCCTTCGATTTCAGCCCCTGAAACAGTTCTTCAGCTAGTGTGTCTATGCCTCCTTCTTCTCGACCATGAGCTCCTTCAGTGTTGACACCATGTCCTATTTATCCTATTCATTGTTTTACTCCAGCAACTAGCGCAGAACCTTGTAATTATTCAACACGAAGAAAGGAAGGAAGGAGGGAGAGAGGGAAGGAAGGAAGGAGGGAGAGAGGGAAGGAAGGAAGGAAGGAAGGAAGAGACTGAAGGTGCACATCAATTTATTAAAAACATTTATGTTGCAAGTTACATATACTCTTTTTATATAAATAATGTCTACCCATGAATCAACCAAAATTTTGTGTTGGAAACATTTCTTTAACCATATTCTACCAAAATTAAACTATGTTTTAAGCAGCCTTGGTAAATGTGGCACAGTTATTGTCATTTCTGTGCTTTTCCCTATGCTTGAACCTCTCCCTCCGAAGCCTCTACTTCTGAAGGCTGCAGCTGCTAAGAGCAGAACTTGATGAGGAAGATGCCAGGATCCCATCTGGAATTCACAGAACCCTGGCCAGCCCCACTCACGAGGGGCTGAATCTCCTTTAACCCAGGAAAATTAACTCAAGAGCATGTGGGACCTGAAATCCATGCTCTGCATGTTATTGCAGGTGCTAATGGCAGAGAAAAACACCTGCTTTTCACAACGGAGATGCGTTTTAAACAAAAGGTCTGTTCTGGGAGCTCCACAAGGAAGCATCCACCAGGCCTAAGAAAGTCTGCATCCAGGGATCACCCTTCCGGAGTGGATCTCACCGACTAGCAAGAACTGATTGTGTGCATGTCTTCCCAACTCCACATTAGCGATGTCGGATCAGTTGATCAAAATCAGCCACAGTAAGAGTATTTATACCACAGAAATTGGCATATACATCAGGGCTTTTTCTTTTTTTTCTGGAGAGCCAGTTTAACAATTCACTGCTTTCCTGATCCCATCCTCCCCCCCCCGCCCTCTCCTCTCTCCCGCTCCACTCCCCAGTCCACACTTGAAGAGCTGTGTTCCAAATGAAACACTTGTGAGAAACACAGAGAACTTGCGTCTCCACTGGCAGATTTATTTGTTCATGTACCTTAATCCAGGAAGTTCCTCTGCAGTGTTTTTAGACAGAAGTGCTGAAAGACCACGTCCTCTTTGGCTGTTCACTTCAGGTTTATTTGGCCATTGTTTGCTAAGAAGGTGTTGAAACCTTCCTACAGCACAGTTTATTAAAACTGACCATGAAAAATTCTCCTGTTGGATTACAGTTATAAGTAAACACACACACACACGCACATCAGAAAAACAAATCTTTACTGCTTTCCCCTCTCTCTTTCCCTTCTCCAAACTCCCCCAGACCACTAAACTAGGGTAAGTTTTGACATTAAGAAAATACGGAGTTCGAGTGCTTTCAGCCCATGGTTTGAGTGATTTTATTATTGTTGTTGGTACTCTGTCTGAAACAGTATCATTCAAAAAGGGTTTATCATGAAGCTTAAATTTCAGAACACCTCATTTTCGTAAGACCCCTTCCCAAATTTCAATGTGTTCATATATCTTTGAAAAAATTACAAAAGTAAGATTTTTTTGGCCTTACTTTTCTTAAAAAGTATACCCCATGTTATATATATTTCAGGCCTCAGAAAAACTGGATCCACTCCTGAGGGTTATTTTACATTAGTTTTGCCTAACTTATTTGAAATCTCAATCTTGCTTCCAATTCCACCCTTCTCATAAATTAAACTCTCGTCCTCTTTCCCTCATTCTAGTAAATTCACAAGAGAACTTGTATGTTATGAAGTTGTAGTTTTTAAAGTTCTATGTTATTATCAAGAAACAGAAAATGGATTTAACTTCTAAAGAAAAAATATAAACTTATTGGCAAGAAAGCTCAGAGTTTACCCGTCTTCTGATGCATTTGGTCAAAAATGCCTGCCCTCCCGAGTCCCACCCTACTAGTTTTGGAAACCCTCCTATAAACTCATGGTGGACCTTGAGGTTCACCCTACAGAGGACTGATCACACCATTAGGAAGGGACTTATTACCCCATTACAGTGTGAGCTCTAACGGTCCAGCACATGTCGTATACATTGTGTGGCTGGCATAAAACAGCCCTCAGTACATATTTATTGAATGTATACATTAATGAACAAAAGAAAACTTTTCTGAATTAGGAGTCAGGATACCAAAACTCTGGTTGCATCTGTGCTACTGAGAAGCTTGAGAAGATTGAACAAACCCATAAATTCCCTGGACCACTTTTTCCGCATACAGATGTATACTGTAGGGATCCCAGGTGGGCCCCAAACTGAGATCATCTTTAGGATCTCAAATATCTAGGGCTAGTCTTTATGAAAAGGAATGAGGTCCCTCCTAAGAAAGACCACATCCTAAAGAAAGACAAAGCAGTCGCAGACAACTTGGTTCGAGAGTGGTGGGTTGTGTTGAGGAGCACTGGGTCCTAAGTATACCTGAGCCTGTCACTCTGATCGTCCTCTAGCCCAGACCCCATGGGCATGCAATATGAACAAGTAAACAAAGTTCGTTTTCCACTTTTTCGTACCAATTGCTTCACTGGCCTTTGGGGTCTCAATATGTCAGCAGCATGAGTATTGGCAACTTGGGCAGAAACAGAGAATGGCACAGGTGGCATTGGAAGATGATTGCTTGGAGCATCAGCAGCAATGAAGGCCCATGTGGTGGGCACTGGAGACAGGCAGCCTCTTTTGATATTATAAAGACCCAAAGACACCATCACAATGAGCTAGAGCAAAAGAGAAGGACAATGGCAGACACCTAGTGTCATCAGACAATTCACAGTGTGGGTATCACAAACACCCTAGACATTTGCAAAACTCTATGGAGAAATGTAAGGAAGGCTCTGTCTCACGAATTCAGAGAAAGGCAGTTTTACTATTATTGTGTGAACCTTCTTTTACTCCTAAGGTGTGTGCTGGAATATGTTTTGAGAGCTTATCTGGAATTCGAAATGATAAATGACTATTCTTACCCGAAGAATGTGATACACAGATGTTAGCTCAGTGACAGTCTTCCTCAAGCAAAAAGAGGAAGATTGGCAACAGATGTTATCTCAGGGCCAATCTTCCTCAAAAAAAGAGAATGTTATACATAGTCACACCTCAGATATTAGTAAAGTGGACAGAGTTAAAACTAAATCTCACCAAGGCTGTGACATTGGGGAAGTTAAGTTCAGAACCTATTTCTTCTTTTCCTAATGCAGTAGAAAGGCTTTGGCATTGGCCTGGTATTCTAACTCTGTTACTTAATAGATGGCATAGATTAGTCAAGCTATTCAATTTATCTGAGCCTCAGCTTCTTAACTGGAAGATGAGGATAATAATATCTACTTTGCAGGGTTGCTGGGAAGGGATTTGATATATAAAACACCTAGACGAGCGCTTGGCGCTTAGTGGGAGCTGGATAAACATTAGGGCCCCCTCTGCCTTCATCTCCGCTGATTAATACAGCTTTTTCTCCAATCCCAATCTCATAGAAGTTCAATGCAGAGAGGACACAGGGCAAGACGAAATAAATTTCATGTGGTTCTAGAAGTTCCCTTTTGACATTCCTTACATTTTTAAGGGAATGAAGACTCTATAAAGTTTAACTTTTAGTCATTGAAAACAATTTTGTGTCATCTTTTCACTTCAACCTTATTCTCCCTCCCTCTCCAGCCAGGCCCTGTGCCCACACTCCGATGTTGGAGGTTCTCATTGTGGTCATCTCCTCCAACGTGTTAAGACTACAGGTCCTACAGAAATCATCTCAAAGCCTGTTAAGAACTCATAGGTGTTTTTTTCTGGGCTATGCAAATAAAATATTCATATATATGCAAAGATTCTTGACTATCAATGTATTTTATTAACTTATTAAAATTATTAACTGTGCCAGATGGATACTAGGGAAGCTCCCAATGTAATTATAGGTCTAGAGCCATAGTGTTCCATTCCAAATGAATCCCATGCAAAGCATATTTGTGCACTCAAATATTTCCATGATTATACACATCTTCCTTTATCACAAGCTGCTTTGATTGTGTTGCAGTGAGTGATATGGAGTGTGTATGGGTTTGTGTGTGTACACACACAATAAGGCATAACATGTTGTACTAAATAGAACATGGCTTTTGGACTGTGGTAGATCCGTGTTTAAACTCCATTTCCACTACTCATTAACTCTGTGACCCTGAGCAATTGACTTAATCTCCCTAAGGTTCAGTTTTACTAATTTTAAAATGGGGTTTGGAGGACTTAAGCACAAACAGAGCATCCAAAAAAAATTGCAGTGATGCTGTTAATATTCCAAATATAAGGAAGCATTATGTTAAATATTACAGACGAACATTATTAACACATAGGTTTTAGGAGAGCTGTTGAAAAACAGTTGCTCAGATATTTTGATAGTGAAGACCACAGAGCTAGCCAAAAATTTTCCGCTACTCAAGGGAAAAAAGGAGGCAACTTATAAGAAGAGTTATTACTTCATCAGCCCTTTCCGATTCAGTCATTGGGAGTTAACAGTAAAAACAGTATTGATTTATCATGTTTACTGAAACTCACCCAGCAGGGATCCTCCAGGGCCTGTTATCTTTCCAGGAGAAAGTCTGGCTTAGCCTTGTTGCCTCTTCCAAAAATGATCTGGCAGGAAACAATACCCTGCCTGGAATTTGCAACATTTCTTCATTTGTGAAAACAAACAAACAAAAAGTTTATCTCCTCTGAAATCTTCTCAGGATCCTTTCTCCTGATTTATCTCCTGGAAATCAATTTTCCCATAGCCTTCTTAACTCACTTTCGTGAGAGAGAGCAGGCAGATGACTCCTCAAGGTGGAAATGAAGCCTGTGAGGAGCATTGTAATGTTACCTGATGTTTCCTGATTAAGTCTGAAAGAATTTAGCCATTTAGTCATTTTTTCAATCAGATGGTTCTCTAAGTGATTAAACAATCTCTCTCTTTCTCTTTTTTTTCAGTTATCTATGCTTTCCAATTTTCCTACAACAAATATTTATTACGCATGAGATAAAATACAATAAAAGTTAAAACAAAAATATGGTGATGTCAAAGTTGCAGCCAAATACACTTTTCTCAAAGTTTGTGGCTGTTCTCATCTCAGGTGGCTTTTACAGGCTCTGCACTTGACATATATCACCTTATTTAATCCTTCTGACTGTGTCTACTCATGTTGCCCATTTCACCGTTGAGGAAGCAAAGCCCAGAGAGGTTAATAAGTTGATCTAAGTCTCACAGCCAGGAAGAGACAGCGCCAGGATTCAACCCTTATTGAATCAAGAGCCTCATTTTTAAACACCCTACACAGGAGGTAGAAAAGTGGGAATTTGAACTCAGGTCTATCTGAGTAAAGTCTATATTTTTACCTACTGTTATTCCTTCAAATATCTTCCTGAGGTGGAAAACTCTGGGTCTCACCAATGTGGTTTCTTTTCATAGGCACGGTTAAGATGAAGGAAAGAATTGGTTTCCCCTCTGATAATCGAAAGACCAGTTCTTTTTTTTTTTGAAAGTAATTGACTTTATGAGATGAGATCCTCAGCTATGTCCATGACTCTTTACTGAAAGAGCCCAGTCTGAACCCACAACATCCATAAAGGGTATCTTCATTTTGAAATTTGTAAAGAAGCTTTCAAAGATACTAAATGACAAGATAACATGAGGGAGATGGAGCAAAGAGGTAACACAAAAGGAGGCACAAAATGAACCCCAAGATAAGGCCAATTCATACAAGAAAGAAAGAACTGGATCCTATACACATTCACCACTAGCAAGGAGCTAAAGAAGAAATGAGTTAAAACAGCTTTGAGTGATGCCTAAGATTCTAAATTTTTGCAGGCAGAATTTGAAACTCAATTTTCACTGGGTCACAATTTAATGACCATTAGGTACCTTCTAAACCAGAAACATTTTGACTTCTTTTGAGTTTTAAAACTTTGTCCCCCAAATCTTTCCCTTCCATGCATATATCCCACTCCCCCCGTGGCCAATTTTTGGTCTTGTTTAAAAAAATTCTTCTACTTATTTTCATTCAGTTCGGGGTGAGAGACAAGGGCCTGCTTCTCTCTTGTGGAGTTCCAGCACCAACGTCGAGTTTAATTCAATGGCTGAGGGAATGAATCTAAGGGCAGCAAATATGAATTAGTCCCACTGCCAAGGAACAGATTATAAAACTAGTCATGTGCTTTTAAAGCAGTCCCAGTTCTCAATTTTGGAAAGCTGAATTTAAGAGTAACTAAAATCTATGCCTAGGGGATAATGGGGGGAAAATAAAGTCTCATCTGCTCTGCTTCATCATATTAAATTGCAAACCCAAAATCCCCAGCCTCAATTTCAAGCAGAATTAGCTGGAAAGCTTGAGAATGGGACATTCAGGAGTCTGGGGGAATTGACAAGGGAAGGAGAACCGAACTCATTGAGTCAAACTGTACAGAGATGGCTGGGGAGCACATGCCGCCAATTTGATAAGTGGCTCTATTCCACTCTGAAGCCCATCAGGGTTCTGGACAGAGAGATGTGGGATTTTATTATTGTTTATTCCTTGACATAAAGCCAAAATAAGCCCCTGAACTGAGTATACAGCTTTGCATCTAAAGGCATTTCGGTGTCTCCACTGTGGCAAAGGAAAACACTTCTTTTTCCTGTTGCTATGTATATTGGCAAATATCCTATCCAAAGAATTGTGCTCCAAGAACTCTGGAAACACCTGCCAGCAGAAAACTTGGGAGCTTTGTTTAAACAAGTGTACCTGCCAATTTTCCAGTACTGTTGACTTCGCGGGACTAAAAAACGTGGACTATTTTAAAACTGACTTGATGGATAACAGGAACTGGGCCATAGAGATGAGGCACGGAATGTGCCTAGATTCATGTTTATCTTTTCTTTTTTTTTAAATATTGTGCAGTCTGAGCCTTGCACAAGGACACTGCAATGTTAATCTCCCTTCAGCACGAGCCCACCATGTGGCTGTAAATTGAGAGAATGCTTGGGCCTGAATTCAAGATATTTGGCAAAACAGAGTTTCCAAGAAATATTGCGGTAATCCAAAGCATTAGGCTCTGTGACATGTGCAGGCATTAAAAAAAAATGTCTTTTAGGTTATCATGAGTATGTGGATTCTTTTTGTAGCATCTACTATAGCATATTGCCAATTACCCAGGGTGGACACTCTTGAGTCTTAGAGAGCAATTCCAAGTCTGAGCCCTAATTGGATTCTAATATAACAAACAATTCCATTCTCATCTTCCCCTGTCAAATTAACTACCATGGGTAATTACCCAATAGGCAAAATGTTTTCTTGGGGCATTAAATAAAGGCATTTGGATGCATTCATTTTAGTGGTTGGCATTAAAAAAATTGCCATGCTCAGGGCAATAGCATTTAGCGGCATTTGTTTTCATTCCAACAGGCCATGCATGACTGAGAGTAACTGAGCTGAAGTTAGCAGAAGAGGTGGAAGGACGCTAAGGCTTCACCGTGTAGAGCATAAGGTGGTCCCCTTGAAATTTAATTGTTTTCTTGGCTGAGCATGATGTGGTGAAGTTTTCTGAAAGGGATCAATGTTGTTATTCCGAAGGTACATCGACTGAGGATGTTGCTCTACTTTGTGTGATTAGGAGGAAGAATGTTGAAAACATCTTTCTCAGTGTGTCCGTCTTCTGACCTACTGTGAAAGTCCTACCGTTTTGAGTTATTGCTTTGGATTAAGACTCCTTAGGATAGTCACTTTGCTTCTTAGATCTTCAGCTTCCTCATCTATAAAATTAAGGAATTAGACTATATACCATGTAGCTCTCATCACAATAATGCTTTATATCGAGGGTCTGTAGGTCGATTCTACCCCACCCACCATTGGCTAAAGCAAGTCACACGACAAATCCCAAAGTCAAGGAATGTGGAGACATACTCCATCCGTGAAGAGGTCATGGCATAGGTGTGGTACAGGGAGAGAACTGGGGTCAATAATTCAACCTACCACGGACTGGTTCAGTGGGTGCTAAACTTTGTGGTTCTTATAGGTATAACAGAGATTTCTCAAATACAATCTGTTACGAAATCCAAAAATTAAAAAAATATAAAGCTACACCCATTCTGCAGGCCTTCTAGGAAACTCCTTAGGCACTGGTTTTCAAACATGAGTGCATATAAGTATCGTGCTGTGAGCTTGTAAAAATTAAGTTCCTGTGGCCGTCTGTGGGACATTCTGATTTAGTAGAACTGAGATGGGTGTCTAGGAAACCCCATTTTTAATAAAAAACTCCAGAAGATTCAGATGCCAGGGCTTCATGGAGCCTAACTACTCTAGGATCCCAGGATTCTAACCAACACCTCTATTTTGACAGCACATATGAGTAGTAAGTACCAGTACTGTTTTACTGAGTCAGGTTATATATGTCAGCTGAAATATATTAATCTTCCTATTCCAGTTGATACTTTTGGCAGAGACAGCAAGTCCACAAGCCAATGCAAATAGAGGAAGTGGAAGCAGGAAAAGGAGCAAAGCCATCTTATCAAGGTGTGAATACGAATATCTCAAATTTTGTTTACAACAACAATACTAAACAATAAGGGCAAGTGCTGATTTTAAGCAGTTTCCAGAAGGTCAGAGTTAATATGCAGTTATCCTAGGCAGTGAAAAACTCAAGCAAAACCTCTGTCATTTGATGTATCATTCAATGATCCGCCAGAGAAACAGAACCAATAGGATATCTATCTATCATCTCTCTCTCTCTCTCTCTCATCTTTCTTTTGGCTCATGCAGTTGGCAATTGTGAGGGCTGGCTACACATATTTGAATTCCATAGGGCAGGCCATCACTTCAGGAAGGGCAAGCGGGAGCTCTTGGGTAGAAGTTGACACTGCAGTCTGCACGCAGAATTTCTTCCCTGCCAGGGAAACCTCAGTTTGCCTTTAAAATCTTTCAATTGATTGAATCAGCCTCAACTAGATTATAGAGGATAATCTCCTTTACTTAAAGTCAATTGATTGTAGACGTTAATCATATCTACAAAATACCTTCACAGCAATACCTGGATTAGTGTTTGATTGAACAACTGGCTACAATAGCCAAACCCAGCTGGCACTTAAAACTGACTGTCATAATTGAGGATTCCTCTTCTTGATTTTTGCCACATTCATATGTTATCTGTATTCTTA